TTATTTAATATTAAGAGGACGTTGCTCTACATAATTAAGACTTGAAAAGGACTGCCTTAAGTGCAGTCGAAACGTTGTCAACTGAATAAAAGACTGAACAGTAAGCCCTTGGAGTTTATTAATTCTTCGTATCTATTTAACCACATCAAGTCAGGATTTTTCATAACCTTTGAATTTTTTCAAATTTTCTTAGATACTTAGTTTCCGCATAGAAACTGTTGTATACAAATTATACTAATAAACATAGACATTTTTACATGCATTAAGAAACCACATTTTAAAATTTTTTAGTCTTTTGTTACAAAAATTTAATCTCTGTTGTCGATTATATTTCATCAGGCTCGGTAGGTTGTTATAGTTTAATAAAGTTTTGAGCTTAAATAAACGTTACAGTATAACAGCAATCGCAAGATTTGTAGTCAAAGACACTGTTAAATATAGAAAGTGATTAAATAATGGAATCACATTTTTGTAAAAATTTTAACTTAAAAAATACGCTTTTTTAGGCGTAATAAATATTTTTACCTTAGATAAAAGTAAAATTAATTTTTTTTTATTACATTAAACAGTCAATGTGAGAAAGTTGTAACCCAATTTAGTTTTGATCTATAAGCAAAATAATAGGTTAAAATAACCATTTCAACAGTGACTTCAAAAACATACGGTCAGAGTAAGTACGTTCAGACGTCAGATCAAATTTTTTCGATTTTTTTTTAAGATTGTTCTCGATTTTAGGCTAAAATTTTGAGGTTATTAATCCTGACATAATAAGGTTAAATAGACCTCGGATTCAGATTCAGCCACCCTGAAAACATATAGTCAATATGGTCAGACGTTAGATTAAATTTATTCGATTTTTTTTGTTGAGTTGTGATAATAAATTTTTCGAATTTCCGATGTTTCACAGCTTGTAGTTCAAAACCACTAATCAGTAACCTTATTGAGAAAAGTTAATTTCTATAGCAGATCTTGCAAGGAGTAGAATAAGCCCCAAAACAAGTATTTTTGACTCGAATTCGCTTGAAGCAAGGTAAAACAGCATTTTTTGACCATTTGGAAACGCTGTACGTGGGCGACTATTGCACGCCTCAACCTAAAACTAAGTCTTCTGTATTAAAGAAAAATATAAAAAGTGTATAACTATTAGTCAATTATATAATAAGAAAAACATGTTTACCAACAGAACTTATCAACGCTCCGGACGAAGACTATGTCCAGATTGGTCCTGGACGAAAACTATGCCCTTTTGACGGCCTGGGAGAATACTGTGCCCTTTTTTCTTGTTCGGACGAAAACTATGCCCTTTCGACGGCCTGGGCGAATACTGTGCCCTTTTTTCTTGTTCGGACGAAAACTATGCCCTTTTTTGGTCCCAGACGAAGATTATGCCCTTTTTTTCGAGTTCAGGCAAAGACTATGCCCTTTTCTACAAACCCAGACGAAAATTATGCCCTTTTTCTCTATTCTGGACGAAAACTATGCGCTTTTTTAGTTACGGACGAAGACTATGCCCTTTTTTTTGAGTCTGGGCTGAAACTATGCTCGCGTCCAGATGAAAATTAAGTTGAAAAACATACAACTATTATTTACTGACCCCTGTTGTGTTGTACTTCCCCTAAAACTAAGAAACCTTTCCAGATTTGCTGACTCATGATTTTGGCGGCTAACAGCTACTAGTATGCTGGAATAAGCTTACGAATACGAAGCTCTTGAAAACAATTCAACATTTTATATTAAGGCTTCACGATACTTGTGTCAAAGTGTTTGTGTTATAAGTTTTATCTTTACACTGGATTTATATGCACGTTAATCTACGGACGCCTTTGTAAAAAATAACACATAATCGTTATTTTTAGCAGGTCTAGTGGCTTCAGTATTTGGAGTTTAAGTAAGTGTTTGAAAAAGAAAAAAAAAAAAAAGTTTTTTAAAAGATTTTGTTAGGTGTACATTGTAAAAACTGTAGATAATAACCACTATATGCATATATTTGACTATATATCTAATCATAAGCACAAATATAAGATGAGCATAAATAAATTCCACTTTATTAGGGCTCCAGAAAAAGTTAACATCTTCGTCAAGACTCGGAGAAAACGGAATAATCTTCACCCGGACTAGAAAAAAAAGGTATAATTTTCGTCCGGACTAGAAAAAAAAGCATAGCCTTCGTCCAAAGTTCGGAAAAGGGCATAGTCTTCGTCCAAAACTCCAAAAGGGCATAGTTTTCGTCCGGACTGAGGAAAAGGGCACAGTCTTTGTCCGGGGCGTCGTTATAATCATTTTCGAGAGAGTAGTTTTAGTAAACATTTTTCTAAATATTAGTACGTTTAAAATAATTTTAAGAACAATTTAAGTAAATCTTCAGTTTTTCTAATGAGATTTTTGTTAATTTTTTTTGTGCATTTATAAAAACCCTACAAAAAAATGGTTCCTAACTCATTCAAGAAACAGATTCTTAATTGTTTTTATTCAAAGATAAATTTTATAAGGCACCTCAAAATTTTCATTTGTTTTAAAATTTTTTATAAGCAAGATACAAAGACTAATTTAAAAGATAAGACATTTGTATTAAATGCCATTTTAAAAGTTTTAATATCCCAGGTTTAAAATTGTTTGAATCGCTTTGAAAAAAGACAAAAATTAGATGATTATTAAGAGGTTTTCACAGTTTCAGAATTTTAAACATTCATTTACTTCCCTAGCTACTTAAAAAGTTTTTCAAGTTTAATACCTTATCGAAGTAGTTAAATCGACTTTTTATTATTTAAAAATCACTTTATTACTATCCTTGGGTTTGAACAACTGCAGATTGTTTTCATTAGTTCTAAAGGTAAATATGACCACAATATGTTCTTTAAGAACAATCATACCAGTCCGTAAGGATATGTTTCTTTTATAATTTGTAATAAAACACATATAAAATGAATTTTATTTTTGATTGACATTACATGGATTAAAGTCATAACGGACAATTATTGTATATTATTAAAGCAGTTTTTAGTTTTGATTAAACATTTATAGTCTCAAAATCAAAATAGTTAATTTTACTTTTAATTAAAAAGTATGTAGTGACATAACATTTACATGCAGTTATGTTTGTAAACAAAGAAGCAAATTTGTAATTTGTACCTCCTTCACTGTTGTGGGGTAGCATCACGAATTTTTTTTCTTTTTCTATACGTATTGCTGGTTGCAAACTACAGATTCAGTATTTAACTAACGCTAGACTAATTAATTAAATGATTTTTGGTTTACTCTCTGACTGTTAAATAAAATTTTTCGATGACTTCAATTATTCCCGATAAAATTTATAAATATTTGTAATTAAGATGACTTGTACTTAATAACCCTTGAATTGCTATCTTACAATTAAAATAATCTAACTTCTTATTAGAATTAAAGATGAGGCAGGATTTTAAAAAATTTGTTGAATTCGGATAACGCATAATTTCAACAAGTAATGCTCATTTTTGAGGGATTTTTTGGGAGCTTTTTTAGCAATTGTCCAAATATTTTAAGCTCTTGTAATGTTTTTACTTTTTTAAACTAAGCTCAAGTTAATAAATTTGGTTCATATCAAAGTTCGTACGAGAATCTACATTAGCCAGAGATGTTATAGTAAACTAACCTAAGGTAATCTGTTCTAACATAAAAACCTAGTTTTTTTATTCTTATACCTTTACTTACAGTTTTTTAGACAACATTAATATTAATTTACAGAAGAAATGAGAAAATAACAAAACATCATGCTTAATTTCATAAGATGATATTGCCCTCCAATGTTTGCTACTTACTAACAACGTCGATAGTTATCATTGGGGTGTTGATTTCTTTATAGATGATGTTGAGTTTAATAGCACATATTTGATAAATATATGTTAATATTAAGACAAAAACACTTGAAAGGAATCAGTGAAAAAATTACTTAAAATTTTTTATTTAGAAACTAAGGGTGCTTTGCCTAAGGTATTTTTATGGGTGTTTTTATGTGTTACATTATTTATAATAATTTAAGTGAATAACTAAATTCTCTGCATACATGTTATTTGCTTTTATATTGGAGCAATTATACTCTATGAACAACAAAAAAAACCATATAACATTAAATGATATATGAGTATATTCGATAGTCTTAATAACCAATCGATACTACCAATTATAATAAACTATTTTACTTTTTTGGTCTATTTTTCCACAATTGTACAGTAAAAAATCGTAATATTCAAGTTTATATTTGGTTGTGTTACTGATACACTTTTTGGCTTCGAAAAACTGTAAGGCATTTATATTTTTATTAGCATTAGTATATTTAATTGATAAAAAGATAACTGGTTGAAAAAAAATATTTTAATTTCTTTTTGGTAGCTAGCCTATATGATTGTGCGTTTAATATTTCAGCAGATAATATTTAATAAATGGGCAAGTACGAGCACTATAAAATTAGATACGCCACAGTGTACATTGATTGTATGTGGCCATCAATTGTGATTTTTAACTACGTTGATGTTATACAAACAAGAAATACCTAATGTTTAAGATGATAGATTAGCAGCACTAATAAATAAGTGTGCATACATCATGTCATAGTGCTTTAGTATTTTTTTGCACTGGCTTTTTGAATTCAGGGTCATACTAATGCAAAGCAGGATAAAAGTAGTGAAACAGTGCAAAAAAACTTTTTCTTTACAACTCTCAAAATAATTCTGATCTACGATTTCAATAAAGTATCAATTGCATGTAACTATAAGAAATTCTTTTCGATATTTTTCTTTCATACATATAAATTCTATCGCAGATACTAATGTTACAATCAATATAGAATTCAGTAAAACTTTAGGAGTTATGCATATTTTTCAGTATGAAGTGAGCTAAGCAACATAAGCATATTTAGTTTATGAGGTAGTGTTTATGCATGACCAAAAAAAAATATTTACAAGTGGACCACTGTAATTTAACAGATCATGCAGAGTAATAAATAATCGTTTATTTTTTATCCATACCTTCCAAAGATTTAAAAATACGGCAGAATTCGTGGTCCAACAACAGTTCTTCCGGATTTTTTGCATAAGTAAAAGGCTGTTTCAAGGAACGAGAGTAAATTTCATGTCTTGTGATGCCACCAATCATATCTTGAAATTTTTCAATACCTATCCTGTTAAATATGAGATAGCATAGTTTTTCCTGAAAAAAAATCTCTTATAAATGTATTCGCCTATTTAAAATTTAATTATTTGTGCGCATTAAATAACTAGACTTTATTTTGCTCTAGCGGTTCTACTACATAAATTTTAATTAAAGTGGTAAATTCGTTAACATTTAAGAGAGTTATTGGTTATTTGAATGAAAAGTTAAAAGAACTAAAAAGATAGAACTATAAATACATTATTATATGCTCAGTGTAACGCCTATTGATTATGTCGCTTTTAATTTTTCACACTGACGTATGTCATTCAAATTTACTTGATTCACATTATCTTAAACCATCTGCCGCAACCCATCATTTACAATGAGATAATTTTTATATCAAATTTATTTACGTCCAATGATTATTTATTCAATTTTGTTAATATATTGTCACGATCGTAGAAATAATAATACTCAAGCAGTTCCTAGACTGTAAAATATAAAATTTAATAGAATTATAGTGTAAGTTAACTATCTTGAATACAACCAAANAATATTTTTTTAATTTTTTGTTAAACAAAGCATTCTAAATTGATGTTGAATAGGGGTTATCAGGCAACAGGATACTCAACTATCTGTTAAAATGGATATAAATGATAATTTATATCTATAAATCTTTTATAGAATACTCTCTCTATAAGGTGAAGATATAAGCTCAGTACCTTTAAAACGGCTACATGAAATATAGACTCTTGAGATAAGTGTTTTGTTTTGAGCAAGTGCAGCTTTAAGGTAAGTAAAATGAGATGTAAGGTGATCGGTGATCCGTTGGGGGCAAGATTTAAGAAATAAAAACACCTGGAGTACTTTTATTTCTTCATTTAATACAGCAATATTTTACAAATAATTTGTGCCAGCCTTATTAGGCTAAAAGGGATTTTAGTATATTTACATACACACTACGATATAATGTACAATACTATTTATGAAACAACAAAAATTACCTCAGGTACGCAAAAGTTCGTGAGTATTACGACTACCTTATCACAGATCGAGTGGAAGAGTAAGGTATATGGTCAATCTTCGCAGCACTTATATAGCTAGCACGATAAAGGTAGACGTCTGAGGATATTAACCTTGCACAGGACCTTTAAACTTCCGTAATAACGGAAGGTATGATTTATTTAAGCACCTTCCGTCTTGTTGATGGTATTGCTGTCTTATTTTGTAAGACCATTCCGAAAATAATTTGCTTGTTATAGCTGACTCTTCTATCGAGTATTCTTAAATTATTCCAATTTAACTCATGGTTGTGTTCAACTTGATAAGCATAAACGACAGAGTCGAGTTTTTTATTTTTTCTTCGATTGTTTAGGCGTATTTCAGTCGCTCATTTTTTCTTACCAACATAAGATGCCGAACAGTTTTTAAAGTTGAATTTATAAACAACATTTGTCTCTCTAAGAGTGTCAGTTTTATCTTTTCCCAAACGAATGACGGTATTGAACTTATTATGTACAAGAAGGTATGTGTGAATGTTGTAAGGTCTTAATATGTTAGATATTTTATCAAAATTACTACCAGTATATGGTATACCAATTTTACATGTAGGATGGTCATTTGGAGCGGTTTAACTATGGCTGACGTATGTTGTCTTACTTTTATGTTTTAATAATTAAAATGCAAAGGATAATTGTAATTTATTAAAAGGTTTTCCACCTTAACAACATTCACGCTATGATATCTTTTGCTAGCAAGTAAAATCGCTCTATAAATCAAGTTGAACACAATATTTCTTTTATATCTACTTAGATGATTTGAAGAATAATTCAAAATAGGTCCTGAAGAAGTAGGTTTTTCGAACCAGTTAAAAGTAAAATGTTTAGAATTTCTGATTGTGGTCCAATCTAAGAAATTGAGGTTATAGTCCATCTCGATTTCATGTGCAAACTGCAGGTTAGGATGATATGAATTAAAAAATATTGAAAATTGGGTCAGCATGGTCTTCATTAATAAAAAGCAAAATATCATCGACGTAAAAAAATAAAAGACTGGGTTAATGTTATGATTATTGTTATTAAAATGCAAAAGCTGCAACATTAATTTGTGTTATTTATAACTTTGTGTATATTTAAGGTTGTTGTGGGATATTGACGAAATATAAATTAAACTCTCATTACTGTTTATGAGCTTAATTAATAGACCAGTTTTAAGTTTTAATTTGAAGTATACATACTAATGCCAATCGTAGATATTTTTTTCTCTAATATACTCAATGGTTTAATTAATTGATTTTATAATTTAACAAAAGCTGAGTTTGTACATTATATAATTAACATGCATTACATTCTTGAACTAAGAAGATACTTTAATATGTTCTTAAGTTAAACAAGAATAAAATAACTTTATCTATTAACTACTCTTTCATTGTAGTAAGCACTTAAAACTAAACATACACTTTCGATCTTAACCTGGAAATAGAGCTAGGCTCGAAAAAAACTGGTAATTTATAGTAGTACCAATATATAAAAAATTTCACATAAGAAGCTTGATAAAGAGTCAGTCATACTTATCTACAAATTATTGCCCGTTCAAATGCAGTGATAATATTATATTACATTATATCCCTACTTATACTGCAATATAAACGTATTATAAGATAACTTAAAATGTAATATAGTTATACCATATTACATCCCTACTTGAACCTAGATTGACTACTGGGAGGGTAAGTCGGTAGCCAAGTACATCCGACCTAATGCCTAGTTTAGCTTATCGGTTGGGAACCAATAGAAAGAGTTTTTCAACAAGTAAAAAATAATTGCTTATTTTTGACAAATATAATTTTACGACAAAAAATTCGGGATTTTACTAGAGAATGAAGAATTTGTATACAGATCAAATGAATAAGATTCATTATAAGTTTTGAAGACATAAATTATAAAAATTGTATTAATAAATTAATTTAAATTTCATACGTGAACTTAAAAGCATCGTTAGAACTATTAAACAGTGAGAGCGCTTCTAAAATAGTAAGTCTTAAGGATTAACAAACGATTTTTTTCATATCAATGGAAAAAAAGTACTTATTTCTCACACTATTGGTTTTTTATTTCTCAGTCTCAAGAATGAGTATGAATAATTACCCACAGGAGTTCACATGTATTGCTTATAGTATCCATCATCAAAGAAAAAAATTGCAATTGTAAGATATCTTATGTTCATCGATACCTTTTTTATTAGTTATGTTCTGTAGCTCATTAACAATATCAGGAGTAACTTTCAATAGAAACCCTTTTTCACTAGTTTTTTTCAAATGCATAAATATATGACCTTTTGTTTTTCTAACTATAATTGGTAAGATAATTTTTTTTTAAGAGGTATGAGCTGTTTTTAAAGACATTAAAATAAATTCAGAAGGAGTCAAGTAATTTTACAATTAAATATTTTTTTAATTTTTTGTTAAACAAAGCATTGTTAAACCCTGACTATTTCAAACAAAAACTGGAGAGAAAAAATTCTTTTTAAATTAGCCTTGAATTCACAAATTTCTGCTTATCTGATAAATTCTCTGCTCATTGGGCTATAGGAAGGGCTGTAAGTTTCCCTCTGTACTAATTGTTTTAATTACTTCAAAATGAAAAATAAAAAAGTTGTTTAATGTACTAAACACTATGTTGATAATTTTCACCTAAATTTAAATAAAAATAAAGAAGGAACAACAACACGGAAATTCAAACTTACTGTTAGGGACTCTTAGAAAGAAGCCACATAGTATACTTGATGTAAGACCATTGCTTTGACCAGAATAATAAATTGGTAGGTGCTAATTGATTATTATATTTAATACTAGATAAAAAAGTGTTCTAGTCTTGATATTAAGACTTCTGTTATTACTACGGCCATCTTCTAATAATATATAAACTGTCGACGACTTACATAAATTGTTTGCGGATACTCGCATGAAACCCACATTGTTTTTTTTAAACACATGAGTTTTCCTACAAAAAGACATTAAAAAATCTCAACAAAAACAAACTATACCTAATTAGAAGAGATTTTGTTAAAGAAATTTCTACAATCAATGCTCATAATTAACATTTAACCTATTTCAAGGACTAGAGTTTGTGATGAAGCTGATAACGCAGATTATATTAACTTTTTTTTAAAAAAAGGATAAGTAGCATTAAAAAAAGTCTTGAGGTAACGAAAACTGTTACTTTACACCTAAAAAATCTAAAATTCTGTCAATCAAAAAAAGCCAATATGAATTTGTTAACATTTTTTTAACCACAATACTGATGTACATACACACAGTTTATTTAAAAAGGAGATCTTTTTTCATCTCCATGTTTATTATACACAACTAATGCCTAAATTTAAAAAAATGAATGCATCAACTTACACAACTACACAAAATGCAACGACTCGAGTTCAATAACTTGAAAATATAACCATACCATCAAGTTGAAAAAGATTTCATAAGTGTCGATTCAATTTCTAATATCCTTTTTTCTTTTTACATCGTAACCATTACGTACAATGGGCAGTATTTCAAAGATAAAATGTTGATATTCTTATATTTATGTGTAGATTTATTAGGTATCCAAAAAAAATAAAAATAAAATAAAATAAACTACCAACTTACTAAACTACCATTTTGTGTTATCAGAGATACCTGTCTTGTCTCCATCCGTTAATGTAGTATTGCTTAGTTTTTTATTTTAGGGATTTATTTTATGTTATGTCTGTTCAAAAATTGCCTAAGTTTCTTACAAATTGTACAAAAAATTGTTAACTTATTACAGCACTATTAACTGAGCCCTTTTTAAGTTTTCATGTAGCACTCGTCTACGAGATTAACAAATTTTCTAATGATACAATTTATACTCTAATTTATTTTCTGTTTGGGATACATCATGCCTCATAAATGCGACTTATAAATTTTTGAGGTTACTTATAACTAAATTGTTCTACACATTTATAAATAATAAAGTAACATGTAAATACGACAACACACAACTTTCCGAAAACTTGAAAGATTTGTTTTTTATGAG